AAGAGGACTAGTTATAGCCTCCAACTCCCGCCACTGTAAGCCCCGGCCACCAAACTCCCCGCCAAACTGACGTCACACCCTCTGATTGGCTCCCGCCGCGGCGTCCGGGCGCCGCCGAGTCACTTCCCCCGCCGAATCCCCGCCTCCTTTTCTCTCAGCCGCGGGAACCTAGAGTTCAAGAGCTCCCTGAGCGCCTGCGCGGGGGGCCGCAGAGGCGCTGGCGAACGGCGGGGTGGCCAGTGCGCATGCGTAACACGGCTTGACAGAGCGCGGAGGAAAAATCCGCGAGAAGGTGGTGGAAGAAGATGGCGGTGCTAGGGCCGAGTTTACAATCTTTTTGAATAGACTAGTCCAGTAACTGTTCGGGTCATGGCGTCAAACTCAACTAAGTCTTTCCTGGCAGATGCAGGCTATGGAGAACAGGAGCTGGATGCTAACTCTGCCCTTATGGAATTAGACAAAGGTATTCAAAAGAGCGGGCTGAGCGAGTGAGATGGTGTGGGGAGAAGTGGCGCCACCAGGCGGTGGTAGCCTCGGGAGAGACGGAGGAAGGCGCATGCGCCTAGCGTCCTCGGGCGGGGGGCGGGCATCTGTGCTTTTGGTGAATCCATGTCTTTTACCGCTTTGGGAGATTGCAGGAAAATTGCAGCGTTGCTAGATTGGCACCGCACCAGCTGAACAAGTAACGAGCTCCACTCGTGTCTGTTTTGACCACTTGGGGGCACAGTCTCCCGATTTTCCGAGCAGTTTTTTAAAATTCTAAATTGAAATTGTGAAATTATGTTTCAGACTGTTCAGTTGAGACCAGATTTTCACCAAGAGGGCTAAATAATAATCTTGCGCTGACTTTATAGCGATATATTTGATTTCTATAACTGTTACTTGCGGGTTACTAGGCAAGTTAAATAGAGCCAAGACCATCCGAAAATCATAGCCTCTGCTAATTTTCTGCAGATTCCACCGGTTCTGTTTCCTTACGGGGCGGAGGAGGGTGGTAAAGGGTGTGGAGGGATGAGGGACAGTTTGCAGAAAAAGGAGCTTAGGAGATAGAATGAGTTGAATTCAAATTTCACTAATTTTATAATCGTGGATGTCACCCAATTTCACCCAGCCTCGGTTTTTTTGTCTGCAAAATGGGTTCAATACCATTGAGCTGGCAAGACTGTTGTAAATAGTGATAAATGGTATGTAAAAGAAGTCTTTAGTAAATGCTAAAGAGATATGCCTTCTTTCTAGATATGGATATGAGAGGCAAGGGCAGATATTCAGTAAAGAACTCAAGTGTTAAAAGCTTTGCTTCAGTGTACTTCAAGAGTTTTCATTTAATGGGGAAAACATTTTGTCACCTGATATATAATTAATTTTTGATTAACTATAGTTAATGTGTAATATATTGAGATCCGAATTAAAGATAATAAGAGTCTAATTTAAGTCCACTTTGAGCCATTTCCCAGACTTTTGGCTTGGATGCTCTATTAACTTTGTTAGGACTTTTTTTTTGCTTTTGTTTCTTTTTTTAATCTGTAAACATTTCTAGTGAGTTGATCTAGATAAGAGTTTCTCACACTTTTTTTTAAAAGCCTTTAAATCCTTTTGTTCAAAATAAAAATATTACAGTACTCCAATGTGATATTTCTTTGATTGAGTCACAATCTTTAGCGCATCCCCATTAGCTAAGTATGTGAGATTTGCTTTCTCTTACCAAAACTTTTTCCCTCTGAAATATAAAATTGTAACATTACATGTGTGTTTTAAACACTATGTAACCTTTTCCTCCTCATTCTGATAATTCCTTGTTTATTCTCCAGTGACAGTTTCAGGTCCGGAAGTCTAATATTCTTACCAATTCTGTATTTTCTACCACTCTGGCCTTGGTGGGCTTATCCCCTAATGATGGGACAGTGGTTGTGGAACAGATAAGGATGGGCCTCTGAAGAATGAGAAATACAGAATTGTTTAACTCCTAAAAATTTGCAATTGTGTTAAGAAAAAAAATAACACTTTTTCTTTAAGTAAACCGATGCCTGTTGAGTATTTAACTGTAAACCGAGTATCAGTCCTAGATACTAAGTCATTGTGTTCACCCCTCCCAGCATTGAGCTAGGTGAGTATTTCATAGATGAGTCTCAGGCCCAGAAAGATAATTTGAACAAGACAAGAACAAAATTTGTTCTTTTTTTTACCTCACCATGCTGTACCTTTTACAGTCGTTGAGAAATTAGGTAATGGAAATAACCAGTTCATTAGAATATAATTTAGAGTTTTTAATATTGAATCATTTCATCCTTTACCTGTTCAAGTATTTCTGTTTTGCGAGCCAAAGGTCACAATGTCAGAAGGCTACAAGTTCCCCTGCTAAAGAGAGAGGTCTCTGCAGCCAGGTTTGTACCAGGTGATCAGTTACATGCAATAATTGATTGATTCAGAAGTAGACATGACCTACACTGAGCCAATCAAATTCTTTCTCTTGAGACTTTGTACTACCAGACCAAACTTAGTCTAACAGTGTTGAGAATGGACCTGTGAGATCATGTAGAATTGAGGCTAAAGTCAGACTTTATAACAATTCAAAGCTACATTAAAACCAGCATTAGGAAGGACTGATTCTCAAAGTCTGTTTGGTGATCCCTTGATAGGCCATAAACTGATCCAAAAATCCAAGGCCCTTCTTCAGTTCTTACTGAAATCCATAGACTCGTTTTTATATATTGCTAAGAGCTACTGGCTTGTAACTTACAAAGCAAGTTATTAAATATTGCTAAAAGTTGATATTTATAAAATAAAATTAATTTGTTTATGATTCTAAATCAGTATTCTTTATGCATATTGTACAATATTGCTTACATCCCATCATGTATATTTACAGACAGGTTCTGAAATTTGGAATAAGGATGCTTTATTAATGCATCACCAGTTGAATTAACTATCATTTCAGTTGTTTCTATTCTTGCTTTTTAGATGGAATTTATTGAGACTGTGCCATTATCAGTTTATTAAGCTGTGGATTGTTAGGATGCCTTATAATGTGTGATGCATACTTGTGTTCATTTTCTGACTAATCAGCCAGGGTTAGCTTCTGTTGCTTGCAGCTCAGAACTCTGATACATGCCTGGAAATGTGCGCTATTTTGAAAACTTGATTAAGGTACATCACAAACCCCAAGTTTACCATAATTTATGTTGTTCCTCCTCACTTTCCTGGAACTTGTCATCTTTCAGAATTATGCTAAAATCACTAATTCAGATATTCCATTCTTTAGTCTTAACCTTTTTCCAAAAGCTGCTTGCTAGATGTGCATTTTAGCATAATGGTTAGGACCATAGGCTCTGGAGCCAGATTGCCAGGATTTGAATCCCATTTCTGCCATTTATTAGCTGTTATTTCTCAGGCAGGTTGTTTAACTGTTCTTTGCCTATCTTTATCTTTAAAACGGGGATAATAGTATCTAACTTCTATGATTATAAAGTGAGGTTTAATACATGCGAAGTGCTTAGTAGAGAGTCTGGCGCAGTATAAGGACTTAATATGCATCATCAGTATCATCATTATGATTAACGCTATTTTGGCCATTCTTTATTTTCATTCAGACCTCAGTATATTTATCTCACCACTTTCTTTCACCTAGCAGTCTTTTTTGTTTTTACTGCTTTATAACTGCTTTGACTTCACGGTTCTTCATTTCATTAACTTTATTTACTTTCTTACCAGTACTTTAAATTCTCATCCAAGGTTCTAGTCTAGTTATGTGTGCCCAAAGGCAGCCAAAAATTGCTGGAGAAAGTCATAAACAGTATGTAACTATTATCAGAAATTATATCAAACTCAAATTGGCCTTTAACAGAGACCTGTAGTACTACAGTATGTTTTTGGTCAAGATTCTCCCACCTTCAGTGACATTTCAGATCGTTAATGTTTTCAAAACCAGAAATCCTGAGTTTTATGTGAAATCTCATTTTTAACATTGACAATGAATTCAAAATCTTGAAAAACCTGACTGTCAGATAAAGTTATTCTGAGGACCAGATTCAGCAGCCTACTAGTTTTCTAACTCCAGTATAATTCATAGAGGCAGAGCAGTCAAATAAGATCCAAGTGGCAGAGGATAGCTCGAGGATCTAAGCGCCCACCTTGTCAGTATAGCTAAACAGAAGCTTGAGCCCCTGCCCCAGAGCTTTGGTGGGTTTGGAGTGGAACCCTAGCATGGGTATTTTTGAAAAGTTTCACAAATGTTTGATGCAGAACCAGAGCTGAAAACCAGTACCCTAGAAAAATTTTCCGCACATTTTAAGTGCTAAATAAGTTTAGAAAAATGAGTTTTATTGCTGCAGAATGAATTTTGAATGTATAAGCAATTTGTAGACAACCTATTTCAGTTCTCCCTAGTCGGTATGTATGTTGCAACCGAAGTAAGCACTGTTTAACTCCAGGCACTGAAAAGGAAGAGAACTCTGTTTGGTGGGAATATAAAAAGTCAAATGTGGAAACATCCCCTGCCTTATTCTTACAGTGGCATTCTTAGGATCATTGGTCTTATGATCAGGGCATTCTTCCTCAGGTTGGTTGTAGCTAGCAATAGAAATAAAGCGAATAACCTCTCTCAGACCAAGATCAGCTTGTGCCTTTTTTTAGATGCTTGGCTTATCATGGAGTTGAAATTGGCCTACAGCAAGCAAGATGGGTACCATCTTGCCCCAGCCTAGGATTATTGCTAAATAATAGTCTTTAATGCACTTTTCTCTTCTTTTGCACCCTAGTTTCTGTCCCTCAGAGCCAACTTAGCTTCTTATTTTCTCTCTCCTAGAGCTCTTACATCAGAAAATAAGCAAGAAATTTACTATTTAGCTTCTTTACTCTGTTGGCACTCTTACAGGATTTGGCAACAGTAGAGAAATCAAAACATTTCTCTGGCCAGATTCAAAATTATCTTTGGTACGTTTTAAATCAGCAAGTTTAAACAAATTAATGTGGTCTGTGATTCTGTTTTTCAAGGAAAGGTAAAACTGATCTTATTCTGTTGGGTAACATGGACTGCTTCCTCCTTTGCCTTTTGCATCCCAACTAAGGGTTAAGTCATTACAAACATAACTTTAATATTGTATCCACACATGTGTAAGCTGTTCCCCTTTTCATGTTTTCACAGGTCTGAGATCTGGCAAACTTGGTGAACAGTGTGAAGCAGTTGTTCGCTTTCCCAGGCTCTTTCAGAAGTATCCATTCCCTATTCTCATCAATTCTGCATTCCTAAAGTTAGCTGATGTTTTCAGAGTTGGGTAAGTTTTTTAAAGCCTCAGTGCTCTAAAGCACTTTGTTCATATCTTTGTTTTGTATTGTGGTCTTTATTCTTTTTTGCCTTTTAGGATTTCTACATGGTTGGTTACCACTTTAGTGGATACCCATGGTAGCGTGTGATACTTTTTGGTGGACGATTTAATGACATTCTAAGCAAAAATGAAGAGTATAAATCAGTACTTATTTCTTTGGATAACAGGATAAATCAAATTAAGACAACTTTCATATATTACTATGTATTTTGGAAATAATTTGTGGCTTTGTGCTGATCATTTTGAGAAGTTTCCGATTTAATAGTTTATTTTATAACATAAGATTATGTTACTGCAAAGTGCCTGAAATATGTAAGCACTGAATAAAATACCCATTTCTTTTTTTCTCCCTACCGATCCCTCTCCGTCTTTCTACCATTATTCTTTATGCATTCAAGTGCTTATACACCCACCAAATCAGACATGAAGGAAAAGATGTAGAATTAGCTCGAGAGAGGAGGAAGACCGTTTGACCTCCTGGCCTTGGTTATATTATGATGAGAATTAGTTCCAGGGCTTCTTGAGTCACTACCATTTTGGTGTCTTGCAGCAGGACTGGAAGCATTGCTAACAGTTTATGCTCAGTACTTAACTCGAAGTGCTGTAGAGTTTAACTCTTAGTAAGAGACAGATAATAATAAGATTGAATTGTAGCCTGTTGCTACAATTTAATGTTATTAATGTCGCTTTGATTCCTAATTAAATATTACTTTCCTAAAGTGGTCTAATTAATTTTATCTCTGTTTTTTTTTTTTGTAGAAACAATTTCCTGAGGCTCTGTGTTCTTAAAGTTACTCAACAAAGTGAGAAGCATTTGGAGAAAATTCTAAATGTGGATGAATTTGTGAAGAGAATTTTCTCTGTGATTCATAGTAATGATCCTGTAGCAAGAGCCATCACACTCCGGTATACTGCATTGCTATAATGAATTCACCACAAGATTGTTTGAGTTTTAATTATGTAACCAAAAAAGGCAGTATATCTACCTTTTTCATTTTGAATATTAAGAATTTATTTTTGCTTTCTAACTATGACTGATTGCAAAAATATGGTAACCATCCCAACCTGTAAATGCTTCTCAGTCATCATCTATGATAGTATTTTGGTTGTAAATTGTTGCCTAACTTGTGTTTGAAAATTCCTTTCTGTAGTTAGGTGTTCTGATCAAATAGATCTGAATGTTACTTAGCCTTAGCTCATTTTGAACTTTCTGACCTTGTTCTTATTGTTTCATGTTAGTTTTCTCTACTCATCCTTAGTTATGTACTCATTTTTGTATGCAATAATTTATAGTTTAACTCCTTGGAGAATGCCAGATATAACCACTGTAATTCTTCAGCCTTTTCTTTCTTGGCATTTAAAAACTTTTTTTTTGTTGTTAGAATTTCATTTCGTAAGCCTTAGATGTAACTTGAACCAAGTTCTCTTTTTAGCTCTGCTATCTGTGGAATCTGTATAATTTGGGGATTTTTGAAATGCATCTTCCTAAATTGTAGAGCTCGTTTCTGACTTGCCCTTCACAGACAATGCTCTTTTTAACCATGAAGTCTGGGATGTCACTTCTTCACTAAGTTTCCCTATTTTCACATCAGGAACTGCTTCTTCCCTCTTGTTCAGAATTAAGTGTTTTGTCATTCATACTTTAAAGATGTTTATTTTTTACCCATTACTTATAAATTAAAATAACAAATGGAAGGACAAACTGGGAGATATTCATTGCATTTGAAATGTAGTGCTATGAATTATTTATAATATTACCAGAAATATTTTCAGAAAGTAGTGACCAATGGGATTATGCTTTTTTGCTTTTATATTACAAAGTAACAAACCGTTGATCAAGATATGTCCATATTAGCCTAGTTTAATACTGTATAAAATATTAGATTAATATTCATTTGTTATTTTGAAAAATATCTAGGTAATTTCAGAAATTTCTAATTGAAATTAAATTATATGTTTAGTTAGTCCATTTTAATATTTTCTTTATAAGAACTCTACTACTTGTATCCATTCGATTATTTCTATAAGATAATTAGGAGGTGATATGTCAAGTTGGAAGGTTACTTATGACATTGACTTTGAGGAAGGTTGTCGTTGTAGGAACCTTGATTTGTTTATTGAAATGTTTTACAGCCTTCTAAAATCCATGTCTTTCTGCTGAAAAGATTTTTTAAGGTTTACTTTCTGTAGTTTAAATTACAAACAATAGGTCTTTTTTCTTTTTCCAAATTAATATCTTATTATGAAGTAGACTGTGTTTTTTCAAATTCTGCCTTTCTCATCCTTGCAGCTTCTGATATTAGTCCCAGGGGACATCCTCTGCATCTGTTCTTTTGATGTTGAGGATAGATTTGAAAATCATGGTATCAGTATTTACTGATGTGGAAAAAAGGACTGTGATGTCTGTCTTTTTTTACTTTGTGAATCTACTAATACCAAAAATGCTAGACTCTTAAGGCTTTGCTAAAATGGACATTTTTATGCAACATTGGAAAACTGATATTTTGATGTTTTAATAATTCAAAAGTTTCTTTTCTGGGCTCTGATTGGTACCTAGGATATACGTGAAGATGATTTTTTAAAATTTTGCTTGTGATAGATAATCCATGTTAATTTTTCTGACATATCCAAGTATGGGTTTCTCTGTTTCTGTAGCATGTTGGGAAGTCTGGCATCAATAATTCCTGAAAGGAAGAATGCTCACCATAGTATTCGTCAGAGTCTGGATTCACATGATAACGTAGAAGTTGAAGCTGCTGTTTTTGCTGCTGCAAACTTCTCTGCACAGTCAAAGTAAGTATAGGCCTTTCAGTCCTTTGACTTCCCAAGAATAGGTTTTGAAGGACTAAGTCAGCAATATATAAACACTAAGTGATACAGAAAAGGATAAATGGCAAGACGTGTTTTTTTGAGAGGTTTTACATCATATTGGCGGAGCAAAACTTAAATACATAGAATAGTTAAGTACAAATGTTGGCATTAACTGTAAATAAAATAAGAGTTTCCAGAAGGATAGGATCAGCATAGATTAGAGTAGTTGGGGAAGGCTTCCTTGGGGAGCAGAAGCTTTGTTTGCTGAAGAACTTTCCCCAAACTACACAGCCCTAATACTAAATTGCTGCTTTCTTATGTCTTCTCAGGGTAAGCTGTTTGGCATTAGAACTGTGCACAGTTTGACAGTAACCTGAGTTGAAACGAACTTGACTACACTTATCTTACAGAACTTTTTTTTTTAATGAAATGTCGACTATGGTTTTATTATTGTGTTTGATTTGGTTGTTTACCCTCTGCAAAAAATATATTATCCCCTTCAGTGACTGATATCAAAAGTAGCATTGCTTTCTGGAAGACAATTTGGTAGTACGTATTTTGCCTTAAGCATCCTTTTGACCTAGAAAATCCACTTAAAACTAATCCTAAGGAATCAGCAATGTGTATTGGTACTTATTGACAAGGATGCTAGTTGTAGTGTTATATTAAAAGAAAGTAGTAGCAACCTAAATTCTAACCAATGTACTTAGATAAATTGATCATAGAATGGCATAGTATATTAGCTCTTAACAAATATATTTTAGAAACATATTTGGAAACAGGTTATATACTAACTTCCATGATATTACAGATTTCTTTAAAAAAAAAGTATATATGGAATAGAAAAAGTGCTAGAAGGATGTATATCAAAAGATTATCTCTTCTTCTTTTTTTTTTTTTTTTTAAATAAATTTCTCTGTATCCTACCATGAGCAAGTATTGGTTTTATTATCATGTGGATAATAAATGTTATTTTTTTAAGATAAAAAATAGCATTTCCATTAAGAGCCTCTACTAAATTTGGATAAGACTTGAAATAGTCAACTTTCTCCAGCTTTTAATTACGTGCATATTCTTCTCTTCAGCTGCTCTTATTAAACCTTCAGAATTTTAGGATTACTCATTGGAAAGGGAGAGTAGAGAATAGAAAGCATATAATTTTTAATTTACTGCTAAAAATGAGTAGATATGGCAGTAATTGAGAAATATCTGAGTAAATATAGTTCCTGTTTGTGCTTTTGAAATTGGCAATTTTTTTATTATTAAGAGAATCATTGATATCGAGAGAACTTTTAAAAATTTTTATTTGATAGGAGTTATATATAGTCAATAGTTATCATCTGATTGCCACTGTCAAGGTGTCTACTTTATAATTTGTCATGTACTTCCAGTGACTCCAAAAATAATTTTTGAAATTTAGTTTGTAAATGAAAAATTTGTAATTTTGTGATTAGGTGTTACTTATGAGAATCATTTTTACTTCAATTTTTCTCTTCTGTTATCAGAAGCTAATTTGATCAGTTGTGGAATTTCTAATCTGTCTTGGAAAATGATTAAGACTAAGTAACATAGAAACAGCAAGAGTCTGCATTTTTAGAATTGATGACCAATAAAGATTTAGATTAATAGTATATGTAGAAACAGTTTTTAACATACTGGGCTTTAATATGATATACTTGTAATTTGTGATAGTAAAAAAACTAAATTAGTGCAATAGAAAGCCTGAAGGACCTAAATGTATCCGAGTGTGAAATTAATGAAATATATCTTTTTGAGATTAGAATTTACCTCCTCCTCCAGAGAAAGATGACCTGGCCCGAGATCAGATATCTCAGCCACTACTTACTGATGGATTTTTGTCTTAACATCTCTATCAATTTTAGATCTTAATAATCAAAGTAACTGACTAAATAAGACCTTGAGAATTTAATTCCATTCTCCCCTTGTCTACTACCATAACCACATGTAACTTGTTCTAAAAAAAGTTTAAGATTTTACATTTTTAAAGAGCTAGTCCCTGGGTCACACAGCAAGAATTGTATGCAAGCCCAAATACCTCAAAGGCCAGGCAAGCGTTGTCAATGAGAGAGGTGTCCTCTAGCGGCGACAGTGGTGAACTGGGCTGAGAAAATGAGTCTTACAGTTTCTTTTTCAAGCCAACAATTCACTATTAAGTATACAAAAAATACTTTGCGAATAAACTTTACTTTGGAATAAATATTGTTAAATCCTAAAACCAAAGCAATTTTAGATAAGATTTTAGACAAATCTTTCAATGTTTTATTGCAAAGCACAACAAGGGAAACTTCAGGGTTTCAGAATAATGCTGTATTGTATGATAAAGAGGTTACAGAGGTTATACTAGATGTAGTCAAAGAGTAAGAGCACATTAGGAGAACTGAGAAAGTGAGTAAATATCAAAACACATAATTCTGCACTAAACCTCTGCTACCTTAGATAATTCTAGAAAACAAAAGAATACACAATCATATATCCATTAATTGTCAAGAGATGACGCCATCATATCATTAGCCTCTAGAAAACACTATTCACTTGTGAGAGAATGAAATTGGCAAATAATTTCTTAATGGCAAGAAATATTTAAACATCCATGCGAAGAGGAAGATACGTATCATTTATCATGGCTAAATGAGCCAAGTTTAATCATATTATCTCTATTATATTTCCTTGTGTATTTTATCCCAAATGTTCATGTTATTAATACTTTTACACCATCCAGTGATATTTTTCTTGCAGTAGAATCAAAAGTAGCACCTTGGAAAATACTTTACATGTATATTATGTTTAAAAAATGGTTAACATAGTAAGATTCTATCCCCGTTTTCTGTAGTATTTCTGTTACTTCATGCTTACTCTGTTTTGCTGAAATTCAGAATATTAGAAATAGATTTTATTGCTTACATAATCAGCTTGTGTGTTAAAAGCTTTTCTTAAAGTATGTTCTAAAACATCATAGACTGGGATAGTGACCTTGAATCTTTCAGTGTCACTCAGTAATGCAAATTGCAATAGCACTTATAAAGCACAGCATCTTTCCTTGAATAACAAGTGAGAACAGTGTTGGCAAAAGCCCCTTTCCTGGTTGAAGTTTTGGTTTCAGTTGCATTTCTTAACACATTTCCAGCACCTGACCTTTGCAATATTGGTCACAATTTGGGTATGTATTGTCATTTCTCCTGTACCGATTGTGTTGTGTTTCTTTTGAGTCTTCAGAAAACTTAAGCAGATTTAAATTTTTGGTTTTAAAGTTTTTGCTATTCTCTCTTTCCAAAGGGATTTTGCTGTAGGAATCTGTAACAAAATCAGTGAAATGATTCAAGGTATGTATGCTTCATTTAGTATTTTGAAGTGACTTATGGGATTTATACTAGTAATAGTAGCTGCTAATATTTATTAAGTACTTACCATGTGCTAGTCACCATTCATTTATTCATTCAGATAATGTATATTAATCATTTTCTAAATGCCAGCACTGTTCTAAGTGCTTAGGATACAGTAGTGAATGAAACGAAGTCCTTGCCCTCATGTAATCTACATTCTAGTGGTGGAAGGAGGAGGGGGTGGCAGTAGACAAATAAAAATATGACATATCAGGTGCTATGGAGAAAAATTTAAGTAAGAAGAATAGCTTAGTCCCTAGAGTGAATTGCAGGGTGGAAGGGGGGACTTCTCTATTTTATATATGTTGATCAAGGAAGGCCTCTGATGAAATGATATTTGAATGAGAAATGCAGATATTTAGGGGAAGAATATCCTCATCTAGGGGAGAGCAGTGCCTATAGGAGCTTTGGGGCTCTCTTGTCACTCTGCTAATGTCCCTCCAGTGTCTTCCAGTTTCAGTTAAAATCTAAATTCCTTATTGTAGCCTACAAAGGTGAACTTTTCTAATATCATCTTTCATACTGTGCCTCGTATATATTAACCCATTTAAAAGGGGGCTCAGGGGCTACATCATTGGGCAACTCTAGAGAACACCACATCCTTTGTATGTTTTTAAATGGCACTCTTTTGAAGTGTGCAACTTAGCAGACTTGGATAGGTAATACTATTATGTCTGTTTTACAGAAAAGTGAATAAAATCACTTAATTGAATACGTGAGATAGTGGCTGAGTTTTGTCCTGTTCTCCTTTATCCCTTTGTCTTTTTTTCCTCCACCATCAGAAAAAGGCTTTCCTGCAGAAAGGGCTATCATTAGAAGGAAGCAGCACTCATTCATTTGTCACACTTGAATTAAGATCATCTAAGGAGTGTTTAATGAAGGAACCATTTACAAACATAAGTGCAGGGTAAACTATAGGGGATAATGTCCTGCATCTCTTTAGAGTACAAGGGAGGGAGTGGTCACCAGAAACTTGGAGTCACGCCACTTTGGAAAACTGACCTTCGGTGAACATGATGTAACCTTGCACAGCAGGAAACAGGAAATAAATACTCTGACCTCCTTCTTTTCCCTCCCATCTCCTGGGGCTCTCTAATTTGGCCAAACCTAAATAGAGGCCAAGTAACAAGAGTGTTTGTTGATATAGGCTGCCGTTGAGTGTTGAAATGCTGTCATGTATTCATTCACACTAACAGTTAGTTTACAATGGGAAAACCATTGCTCCGCAGAGTATAAATTAGCTTTTGTCATAAACGCAGTACATTATGAATGACAGTTTTTCGTTGCCTATCACCACAAAGCCATGCTGTAGAAGGAAAGGTTTTTTGTTTAGTCCTTATGTTGACAGGAAAAGATACATTGGAGTTCCAGCTGCGTATGCAGTTCAGAGTGGCATTGCTACTCAAGGTTCAGAGAACTTCAAAACCATTCATGCAGTCTTTTTACTTCTTGATCTCCACTTAATGTTGAAGGAAAACATTAAAATTGTAAATATAATCGTAGCCATTGAGTATGTGTATACACACACACACCTTTTTAGTACTCTATGAGAAGAAATAAGCAGCAAAATGACTTTGCTTTCTAGTGTATCTTTTAAAGACATTTTCTACTATTGGATGTAGTTTTATAGTACCAAAAAATTAATGATATTAAGATAAATACTTCTGGGAAAAAATTATTGAACTGATTGATTAGCTCTCATGTAACTATCTTTAATGTTATAAACGTAATATTTGTGTACTATCTGTTTTAAAATGGTTATTATACTAATTAAATCAGACCTTTAAAATGTGAAATATTATCAAGGATGATGATCAAAAGTCTTAAGAACTCTTTTTGTGCCTAGGCTTAGCCACACCAGTAGACTTGAAGCTAAAGTTGATCCCAATCCTACAGCACATGCACCACGATGCGATCCTGGCTTCCAGCGCTCGTCAGCTGTTACAACAGCTAGTCACGTCCTATCCTTCTACCAAAATGGTGATTGTTTCTTTGCACACTTTTACTCTGCTTGCAGCTTCATCTTTGGTGGATACACCTAAGCAGGTAATTACAATTTTCTTTAAACTTCCTTTTCTTCACTAAACTTGCTTATTAAGTATAAGATAAAAAATTAGTAACCCACAAGTTTTGATATTAAGATCCCTTTCTCTGACAAAGATCTGTTTCAAGTTCTTTTGCTTGCTTTTTTCTTCCCTATATTCACAGTATTGATTATTGGGACCCCTTGAGAAGATGAGGTGGAGAGGGGGGAAAATGGCATAGCATGCAGTTGGTAGTAAAGAAAAGAACTGAATATTAAAATCCAGGGCCTGTGCTTGTTAAAGAACAAGTTAGGCCTAAACATGGGCTTATGGCTGATAAATGACAGGGCTGTGATTTGAAGCAGACCCTGTCTCAAATCTAAAGTTTCTCTAAACTACACTGTATCCCTGATGATAATTTCAGTGACAATATTGTTCATGGAATGATTTATTTCCTTTATAGATTCAGCTTCTCTTACAGTATTTGAAGACTGACCCCAGGAAAGCAGTAAAGAGACTTGCTATTCAAGATCTGAAATTACTTGCCAATAAAACACCGCATACTTGGACTAGGGAAAACATTCAGGTTTGTAGAACTTTGAACAGTAGTAATTTATATAGAAAAATAATACTATAATAACTTTTGCTTTACATTTTGGTATCATCTTTGTCATCTTCTAGGTGTTTGAATATGAAAAATTTCTAAGGGCATTGTTGATATTTGTTATAGTTATTTTATAAGTAATAGAGTAAATACATAAAACTATCAGTTAGCGTTTAAGTTTGTTTTAGTGAATTAGACTTGCTTCTCAATTCCTTGTTAATTTTCCTGTAAGCAGCACTAAAGCTAATTGAGAAGCCCAATTAAATTGTTTATTTTATTCCCGTCTCCTTTAGTCAATTTAGGGAAACAGTTTGGTGCCGCTATGATTTATTAGGAGGAAGGTGCTGGATGGGTAAGTCGGCAAAGTATATTTTTCCTTTTCACAGAGAGCAAGAGACATTCTTAGTTTTTCTTTTGTAAATATAAGAGCAGATCTCAATCTTTAGGCTTTTAATGTAATATCTTTTATAGCATTTCTTAGGGTAAATTAATGTTTTATATTTACTTTTTCTCAAAATAGACCCCTATTTATTTACCCATTACTGGTAATAGATGCACCATTTTCTAAAAGATGCTTTTTGAAGTGAAATGGAAGATTGTTAGAATTCAGCTTTTATCTTCATAGATTTTATTATCTCTCGGTATCATAGCTACAGCGTAACAAAAACCTTTGAATATCATATTATGAAAACTAAGCTGCTTTGTTTGTTTGCAAATTTTAAACATGTTTGAATATATTACGATTTGTTAGTCACAAATACCCAAAGAGATAGGGCAGTTGTTAGTATTTGCATTTAGTAGATGAGCAAATTAGGGTTCAGAGAGACTTAATATACTTAAGAGAGTTTCTTAAGAGGGTTTAATAATTTAGTTAAGAGAGTTTCTGTCCTCTAGTGCTTTTTTTACTAAACAATACCGTCTTTTCAAGAAGATAATGTGCCCAGTCACTGTAGTAACTATAGGAAACTTGTACATTGCACCAAATCCAGTAGGAGCAGAATATTATGCTCTTTGTTTTGTTCCATCTTGTGAGACAGGTCACACATACAGAGAAGTACGTTAAATGTCTGTGTAATAGTTTAAATAAGTGAAAACTCATGTAGCCACCCTCCAGCTAGAAATAGAGCCTTTTAGGATTATAGAACCCTGTCCCCTTCTCTCACATGGTCCTCCTTCCTCATAACCTTAACACCTACCCAAAGGAAACCACTATTGTGATAATAATTTCTTTGTTCTTTATAGTTTTACCATTTATATATGCCTCTCCCCAAAATAATCGTTTTGCTTGGTTTTGCTTCTTTGGCTCCTTTATACTGATGGGACTCATCCATATGGTTGCATGTTTTTTCCCTTTAATTGCTCTATAGTATTCCATCACATGGATGGACCACCATTTATTTGCTCTTGATGGGTAGTTTCCAACATGAGGCTCTTACAAACAGTGCTGCTATTTGTGTTACAAATGTTCTTCTGTTTGTCTGCTGGAGCACATGTGCAAGAGTTTCTTTAGTGCATATACCTAGATTTGAAATTGCTAACTTAGAGAATATGGGTATCTTCAACTTTACCAGATAATGTCAGACTTTTCCCAAGTGATTGAACCAGTTTACACTCCTAACAGTAGTGTACAAGAGTGCTCATTGATCCAACAGGTAGAATTATAAGACTTTTACATTTTCACCAGTTTGGAAGTTATAATTTTCATTTGTAATTCCTTGATTACTAGAGAATTTGAACATCTTTTTAATATGTTTATTGACCATTTGAATTTCCTCTTTTATGATGTGGCTATTCGAGTCTTTTGACTATTTTTCTGTTGACTTATGCTTATTATATATTCTGGATATTTGTACTTTATTAGTCTTTGGCAATTCTATATTAATTTCAGAAACAGTTGATCGAGTTCCACTTTAAAAAAAGTTGATAATTTGATTGGGATTGCACTGAATAGAAAAATTAATTTGTAAGAAATTGATATCTTTACAATGTTAAGTCTTCTAATGAATGAACGTATTATATCTTCACATTTATTTAGATCCCTTTAATGTATCTTTTTGCCTTACTCTGTTTTGTCTGATAGTAATGTAGCTACTTTAGTTTTCTCCTCCTAGGTGTATTTATTTGGTAGATTGTTTGCCATCTTTTAACTTAACAACCTTTGTGTATCTTTATGTTTCAGATATATTTTATAAACAGCTTAATTGGATTATTTTCAGTCCAGCTAGGCAATCTTTGTTTTTTTAAAACGAATGTTTGGTTCATTTACATATACTATGATTTATTATGTATTAGGGTCTAAATCTCATTTTATTTTGTGCTTTTTATATGTCACTCCTGTTCTTTTCCCTTTTTATTGGCCGCCTTCTGGATTGTTTATCTTACCAGTTATTTTCCTTTGAATAGTTTGAAAGTTTACAGTCTTTTGATATTCTTTTGATATCCTAGAAATTACAACATAGTTATTTTTTTATCAAAATCTAAAATTAATTCTAATCTTAGAACACACTTCAGCTCCATTTACAGTCCTCTAAACATTTATGTGTTTTTGTCATGTATCTTAATTCTGTCTTTTCTTACTATACAGTTGGGTTTTTTTTAATGAATTCTGTGTGCATTTGGACCTTCCACTGTCTTTGCTCTTGCATCTCAGACTTCCTCTCTAGGATACTTTTCCTTCTGCCTTTGGAAACTCCTTTAGTGAGGGTCTGTGTTGGTAAACTTAATATTTGCTTTTCTGAAAATGTCTTCATTTTATTCTCAATCTTAAAAGATACCTTCTCTGGGGATAGAATTCAGCAATCGTGGAAATTTTCAGGCATAATTCTTTTAGTTACTGCCAGCCTTCCTTGCGTTTCTGGATCTCTAGTTAAAAATGTATGTTAGCCCTTCTCCATTAATCCCCCATGTCCCTTGTTTTCTTATATTTCATCTCTTTATCTCTTAGTGCTATATTCTGTTTAATTCCTCCTGATAAATGTAGTTCAGTAATTAACTCCAGCTTATATATAATCTTTTCAGATCTGTCTCTGCTCTCAATTTTTGTTGCTTCTTTATTGTATCCTTTCTCCTCGTTTACTTGATATTTTTTTTACCCAGATCTACATCTGTCCCCACCCCCTCAAGTTAGATAAAGGACAAATACTGTATGATATCACTTATACATGGACTCTGAAAAGGCCAAACTCATAAAAAAGTAAAATAGTGGTTACAAGGAATGGGAGCTGGGAGGCAGAGTACTCTGACTTGAGTTCTAAAAGACTCTGACTTAGCCATATTGAGACTAGATTTTAGGAGCACAAGGGCAGAAGCAGGAAGAACATTTAGGAGGTGATTGTAAATAATCTAGTTAGAAAATACTGTTTACCTGAACCAGAGTTGTAGTAGGGATAGCAGTGAGAAGTAATACTCTGGATGTATTTTAAAGGCAAAGCTGATGGATTTACTAGCAGTTTATGTGTACGTTATAAGAGAAAGAAATGATGACTCTACGGTTTCTAGCTTTAACAAATTTACTTCAATAGGTAAGGCTCTGGGCGGCTTATTTCTTGAAGGGAAGACCAGGAAATTTAGTTCTGAGAATATAAAGTTTATAGTGTCAGACATCCAAGTGGAGATGTCCAGGACGTGAGTCTGAAGTTATAAATATGAGAGTCATCAGTTTATCAGAAATATTATTAGAAGTATTATCAGAAGACTGCTAGGGAAAAACTTTATTCATTTAAAATTTGGAAGAGAGCTCTCCTCATACCCTGGATCACCAGGAAGAACCAGCATGTGGGTCCTAGAGCAAATTAAGCCTAAAGATTGCTGAAGGCAAAAATGGCAAAATCGAAGCTGTCCTTTGGGCACATCACGAGAAGGCAGGCTTCTTTGGGAAAGATAATAATGCTGGGGAAAATAGAAGGCAGCAGGAAGAGAGGAAGACCAAATAGGAGATGGATTGACTCCATTAAAGAAGCCAGGGGCAGGAGTCTATAGAAGCTGAGCAGGGTTATTGAGGACTGGACATTGTGGACATCACTCACTCTTTCATAGGATTGCGAGGAGTTGGATCCAACTCAGTGGCACATAACACAC